GTTACTTACTACTGACCCCGGAACTCTGTGTTACTTACTACTGACCCCGGAACTCTGTGTTACTTACTACTGACCCCGGAACTCTGTGTTACTTACTACTGACCCCGGAACTCTGTGTTACTTACTACTGACCCCGGAACTCTGTGTTACTTACTACTGACCCCGGAACTCTGTGTTACTTACTACTGACCCCGGAACTCTGTGTTACTTACTACTGACCCCGGAACTCTGTGTTACTTACTACTGACCCCGGAACTCTGTGTTACTTACTACTGACCCCGGAACTCTGTGTTACTTACTATTGACCCCTGAACTCTGTGTTACTACTGACCCCTGAACTCTGTGTTACTTACTACTGACCCCTGAACTCTGTGTTACTTACTACTGACCCCTGAACTCTGCATTCCCTACTACCGAGCTCTGCACTCTGTAATGCAAGTAGCGCAAAGTAAGTAACGCAGAGCTCAGGGGTCATTAATAAGTAACTTACTAATGAGTCCTGAACTCTGCGTTACTTACTACTGATCTGTAAATCTTATATACTACTGACCTTTGAATTATTATATTTGTAAAGTTTCCTTTAATCTGTCATTACTTTTTATCAGACCCTTGCAAGCTAAACAAGTGAAAAGATGAAGAAGTGGCAAGAAAAAACCCCAAGTCCTGGTAAACAAAAATGCTGTTTGACCTTTATTTATTTCAGAAGAATATGTTTGTTTTGTGCCAATATTTTTACATGCTGATAGGAGGGGGAGAGCAGAGTAACAGAGAGGTCTGCTGCTCCTTCTTTCACTGTCCAGTCAAGGGCTTGTATACTGATAAGATCTGTACATAGAATGATAGGCTGTATATATATATACTGTATATCAGGCAGGAGAAACGGGAAATGTATGTGTGTCATCCCAGAACACATGTCTATATTGCTGTCTTGGATGTACATACAAGCAGATTGCATCATGTAGTAACACAGAGGATGTAAAGGTGACAGGCTACAGAAATGCACAGGAGGGGAGGGTGACGGGCTGCAGGACACAACAGGGGGGGAGTGTGACAGGCTGCAGAGACACAGGGAGGGAATGGTGGGACTCATGCAAGCTAAGTGAGAGTGACTAGCTGTATTGACACAGGAGAGAGGAGGATGAGAGGCTGCAGAGACACAGGGGAAGGAAGGGTGAAGGACAGCAGACACATGGAGATGGACAGGTGAGAGGCAGCGGAGACACAGGGGAGGGGGAGAGGAGAGGCAGCAGAGACACAGGAGAGGGGCAGAGGAGAGGCAGCAGAGACACAGGGGAGGGGCAGAGGAGAGGCAGCAGAGACACAGGGGAGGGGCAGAGGAGAGGCAGCAGAGACACAGTGGAGGGGCAGAGGAGAGGCAGCAGAGACACAGGGGAGGGAAGAGTGAGAGGCAGCAGAGACACAGGGGAAGGATGGGTGAGAGGCAGCAGAGACACAGGGGAGGGGCAGAGGAGAGGCAGCAGAGACACAGTGGAGGGGCAGAGGAGAGGCAGCAGAGACACAGGGGAGGGAAGAGTGAGAGGCAGCAGAGACACAGGGGAAGGATGGGTGAGAGGCAGCAGAGACACAGGGGAGGGGCAGAGGAGAGGCAGCAGAGACACAGTGGAGGGGCAGAGGAGAGGCAGCAGAGACACAGGGGAGGGAAGAGTGAGAGGCAGCAGAGACACAGGGGAAGGATGGGTGAGAGGCAGCAGAGACACAGGGGAGGGGCAGAGGAGAGGCAGCAGAGACACAGGGGAGGGAAGAGTGAGAGGCAGCAGAGACACAGGGGAAGGATGGGTGAGAGGCAGCAGAGACACAGGGGAGGGAAGAGTGAGAGGCAGCAGAGACACAGGGGAAGGATGGGTGAGAGGCAGCAGAGACACAGGGGAGGGAAGAGTGAGAGGCAGCGGAGACACAGGGGAAGGAAGAGTGAGCTCAGTGAGAGGCAGCAGACACACAGGGGAGGGAAGAGTGAGCTCAGTGAGAGGCAGCAGAGACACAGGGGAGGGAAGAGTGAGCTCAGTGAGAGGCAGCAGAGACACAGGGGAAGGATGGGTGAGAGGCAGCAGACACACAGGGAAGGGTGACAGGCTGTAGAGACACAGGTGAGGGAAGGGTGGGAGTCTGCACACACAGCAAAGGTTTAAAAGGGTGTATTAAAGACAGCAGGGTGAGAGTAAGGCCGCAGCAGGGAGGAGGGAGAGACTGCAGGACACAGAAGCAGGAAGAATGACAGGTTGCAGAGACATGGGGTAAAAGGTGACAAGTTGTACAACAGACTAGTTGGGTGGAGGTAGAAGAGTCAGCATATCACCCAAGTCAAAAGAATTGCAAGCACATTTACAGACACACTGACAGACAGACAAGAGATG